TTCTAGAATAAGTGTTTCAGAGGTGTCTCCCCCAGTCACGCTGGATTGACAGATCTTAGGAAACCAGTACCAATGAAGTATACATAATTTTTTCTCCCAAACCAAAGTTTGAATCCAAAGTAACCGTAACATTTTTCCTCTGTCCTTCTGTCTCTCCCACCCCATCCTGGGGTGGGACTCCAGGCTAGGGATTACCGCTGAACTCTACCTCTAGCCCCATTACTCAATGTTTTCTATCAAGCCTCTTGTTTTAACCCACTGGTCATCAGACTCTGTAAACTACTTTGAAAACCTTAGTTCTGTCCTTAACTGAGATGGTAGAATACTCATCAAATAAAGGATACCTGTTGGAGCAAGGCCATCTGGCATCATCTGTGACCATCACCTCGAAGACTAGCCTCTTAGTACTAGTATCTTAAATGGTTTGGTTATTTATTTTGGTCATGCTTGGGCCTCTATCTATTGATAGAGGTGATTTTTTCCTCTGCAGGTTGTATTAAAGCAAGATTTAAAAGTTGCTTTATGTAATGAGAGTAATACATTTCGTAAGACAAATCGTATTGTATCTCTTGCTTACAATAAAACACACTTCTGCAAACTCCTCTAGAATTAAATGGATACTAAATTTTTGTAATTGGGAGGAAAGTTTTCTTGCTCTCATCTCTCACTATTCTGGGTTTCTCTTGAGCAGCTGGATGATGGTACTGGTACAGTGGGCAGTTGGCACACAGTTCGTGTCCCAGGAAGTGAAAATGAGCTGCATCTAACTGAGCTAGAGCCATCAAGTCTGTATGAAGTTTTAATGGTGGCTAGAAGTGCAGTTGGTGAAGGACAGCCTGCCATGCTTACCTTCCGGACCAGCAAAGGTGAGTGCTATCTTCCATCAGAGTGAACTGGCTACTTCATGTCAATTTATTAGTAAGAATCCCATTGGATAGTAGATATCCTAAGATATAAATCCATTATACATGCATACTGTAGCACCTTTTGGGGGCTATACTTAAGGGGTTGTATTAATTATTCCATTGTAATATTCCACACATATTTTTGCAAGTTCATGATCCGAAGCATTAAGATGGGCAAGGAGATAGTAAGATTGAGAACCAGCCCAGTGGAGCTTGAGGAAGGTAAAATGCACCCTCAGATAACAACTCCAGATAAAATCCAATTTGGTTCTGGGCAGTATAGAAAACAGATAACACTAGTCCTCATGGAGTTCATGTTCTAGCTGGGAGGAGCATATGCCCAAGTGCTAAGCACCTTTGGGGGTGGTGTTAACAAAGAAATACTTCAGGGATGGACTTGGGAAGTGTCTGAGTTGGAGTCATTGCAAGTAGGTGGCCACAGATATATGGTTAGTATTAGTCAGCAGTGAGGTATTTAAAAAAGAGGAAGTAGAAGGCTTTTACACATTAGGAGAAAGAAAGTGCTTGGTGTACACACCAAAGAGGCCTCTGTGATGGAGCAAAAAGGGAAAATCTCTCTCTCTCTCTCTCTCTCTCTCTCTCTCTCTCTCTCTCTCTCTCTCTCTGTGTGTGTGTGTGTGTGTGTGTGTGTGTGTGTGGGTGTGTGTGTGTGTGTGTGTGTCTGTGTGACCCTGTAGTTGGGGCACACAGCAGTCTGTGGAATTTTCCAAGTCTTTGCTGGTGATGTCAGTGAGCTAGGAGGAGCTGGAACATTTGGGCTGGAGTTACAGAGTAATGGAGGAGGGTACAGTGAGGAAAGACAGACAATGTCTGACAGAATTCCAGAAGGATCTTCCTGATGAACAGTTTATGAGGGGAGTTCAGGTAGAGGAGGCCATACTGGAGTGGTCCAAATACAGGGAAATACTTCAGGGGGGACCCCAAAGAAGCATGTTCTGCTCTGGTTCTGAGGTTAGAATTAATTTTGGGCCACCAACCAACTCCAAGATAATGGTATGGAGACTTATTAATTATGAATGCTCAGCCTTTGCTTATCCTACTAGCTCTTTAAATTTACTTTAACCTGTTTTTATTTATCTACACTTTACCTCAGGGCTTTTTACCTTTCTTTCATTCTGTATGTCCTACCTTCCTGCTTCTTCTGTGTCTGTTTGGCCTCTGGTGTCTCCCTGTGTTCTTTTTCTTCCTGAGCCTAAATTCCTCCTCCTACTTACTCTGCCTGCCTGAAAGCCTGCCTATACCTCTTCTCTCACAATTGGCCATTCAACTTTTCATTAGACTAATCAGGTGCCTTAGGCAGACACGGTAAAACAGAAACACATCTTTACATAGTTAAACAAATATTCCACAACACTGTGCTGTAAGAGAAAAAGCCTCTGAGGTTTGGGAAATGTGCATCTAGTGGCTTTGGAAAAGGACTTTCATTTATTCATTATTGGGCAGAAATGAGTATTTCCCATTTTAAATGAATCTTCTGTTAGTTTTCACCACTTGGTCCTAGTTATTTATAGTCTGACCTATAAACCATTGAATAACTGTTTCTGTTTAAAAACTAAAAACCAAAAAAACCCAATTTCACTTTTGCTTGTTGAAACATTAAAAGTTAGTGTAGCATTTTTCTGTGGAAAAACAACCTTAAGCTCCTTAATTATGAATATTATTTTGGAATGAATACAAGCAACAAAAAGGATGGACTAATCAGAACCTTTGCCCAGGTCTTCATTTGGCTTTCTTGCTCACGTTGTTGTATTAGTCAAGGTTTTCTAGAGGAACAGAACCAATACAAGTACATAGATGTATACATGTGCATACACATATACATTTACACATACACATAGACAGATATGGACATACATAGACAAACATACACAAAAAAATACACATAGACATACACATAGACAAACACAGACATACACACACATACACACATATATATACACACATAGACAGACATAGACAAACACAGACATATACATAGACATACACATAGAGAGACCTAGACATATATAGACATATATAGACATAGGCATAGACATATGTAGACACAGACAGACAGGCAGAGATGTACATAGACATACCTAGACATATGTGGACATAGAGAGACATAGAGGGACATAGACATGACATAACTTTATTAAACTAGCTCACCTTAAGTGGTACCAACAGTGTCTCACAGCTGAGAGGCTGAGAACCTCCAGAGGTGCTTGTAGAGTCCAGAAGAGGGAGCAGGATTTTCTGGAGCTAGAATCTGGGAGGTGCTTGGTCCTTCATGCCCAGTACCACAGCCATTGGTGCAGTCCCATAGAAGCTGTCTCTCACTGGAGAGCCAACAACCTAGTACTTACTGAGCCCAGGAGGCTTGCTGCCTCAGAAGTCTCAGTCTGGTGCTGAAAACCTGGAAGGTTCCTGGAGAGCTATTTGTCCTCAGTCATTAATGGAGACTGGAAACACTGGAATGAACAGCAACAGCAGCTAGGTGAATCCACTCAGCAGTAGAGGAAAGCCAAGCGAGCAGATCTGGTTTGTCCAGAAGGCCTGGGGTGGGTCTACCACATCAGTTAAGGCAGGTGGACAGTTCTTCACAAAAGACTCCCTTCTCAGCTGATTCTAACTTGTGGCAAGCTTACGTCAAAACCAACATCACAGTTGTTTTTTCCTTGTGTAGTACCAAGGAAGAAAGACACATTTAGCTTTCTTTTAATGATTCTAGAGAAAGACAAAGCAATTTTGCTCTAGTTCTTGACATCAGCTAAGTATAAGGGAGGTATTGTGTTTAGACATAGACACATGTATCTTTATAACTGGTTATGTTTCATAGTATTTTTGTTTTTATTTTACATATATAAGCTTATCACTTTTTTTTTTTTTAACAAAATACTTTACAGAAAAAATGGCATCGTCAAAAAACACCCAGGCATCCTTTCCACCTGTGGGCATCCCTAAGCGTCCTGTTATTTCAGAGGCTTCTAACAGCAACTTTGGAGTTGTGCTTACGGATTCCTCTAGGCATAGTGGAGGTAAAGAATCTTCATCTTGTTTGTTTATAAATGTCAGTGTCCTGTTTCACTTGGGGAGGCAGGATAAGTGGGACATTGGTTACTTAGGTAATGTTCTACCCTGCATAGCTACTTTTTACATATGTGTGTGTATATGTGGTGTATGTGTGTGCATGTATTTTGGCATGTGTGCATGTGTGTGTGGGGGGGTGTTTGTTTAGGCCTAAAGTTGAACCGTAATTACCCAAGGACTTTCATGTCAGAGCTGCTTTTCAGTTACCTTAAGCACACTACTTACGCTTTATAAGTGTAAAGATGACACCTCAAAGGTGAATACTTTACTATTTACTTAATACAACATGTAGAGGTTACTAACTGCCAGCACAGCAGAGATAAAATAATCCTTGCTATCGAGGATTTAAAGCATAGTGAGTGACACAGACATCTGAACAAACACTTCAGTGAATTGACTGCTAAAAATCAAAGAAACAGCTAAGCCCATAGTAATAGAATAGATAATATACACAGGCATGCCAGAAGACAGCTTGTCCATTCTGCTTATACTCCTGGGGGACCTCAGGAGAGACACTTGACTTGGACTTGCCTTGATACAAAGGGGAGCACATAGTGGTTCGCACACAACGGCTGCTCAGCATCTTGAGCTAAGCCTCAGAAGACAAGAACAATGCCAGCAGATGAAGGAGCGGGAGAGGCAAGCATAGCTTCTGCAGATGGGCAGATGGATAGATGGCATGTTGCATTCAGTTAGTTAGTGTGACTTATTGCTGTTGGGGTCGATGATAGTATAAGGAAGAAGGTAGGTGCCCATGTCTTATTTGATACACTTAAAAATGTCATCTCGGCCAGTGGGTAAGGACACTTACTGCCTGAGAGACCAAGTTTGACCCCTGGGATCCACACAGTGAAAGAAGAGAAATGGATTTTGCAAATTGTCTTCTGATCTCCACACATGGGCTGTTATCATATGCCTCTCCACCCACAATAAATAAATAAATAAAGAATAAATAAATTTAAAGAAATGTAATCTTGTCCTGGGAGCTATGAAGAGTCAGTCCTAGTACTTAACCTGGCAAGGGACAGACATTCCAGGGTCATGAAGTGGTTTCCCCAGGGCGAGGTTCTTTTATTACACATGGTATGTGTTGATCCCTATGGTTTCCCCAAATTCTGGAAACTTGACTGCATAATTTGTGGTAGTGGGGGGCTGCATTCGTGCTACTCCCTCAAAAAAGTCCTAATGGATTTTTAAAAGGAAGAAATGTAAGAGATATACCTAGAAAAAAAAATAAGATGACACCAGTGAATGAAGGAGAAAGAGGCAGGGCATAGCTGAGGTTAGAGTAACAGAATCTACGTTGAATGAGAAGGAAGAAGCTTGGGTGTGGACACGAGGAACCATTTAAAAGGTGGATGGATGATAAACGATTGTAAGTGAAGATTATGAGTTTGGAATTCTTTAACTGAAGTACACATATGAAATTATTTGTTTGCTGTTTCTAAGTGCTTCTCAAGGATGTGAGCATGCCTGCTTTCCAGTTGTGGTAAACTGAGGTTCTGATGTTTCAGTGTGCTAGACAACAATGAGTGTGCTAGACAGAGAGTATGCTAGACAATTGGTGGAGGAGCTGCTGTAGGAATCTGTTTTCCCAGTACAGCTACTGCTGTGAAAGAGACTGAGTGTGCTCTTCTCTGTAGACATGTTCTCAGTGACTTTCCTCTTTGACCTGTGGCATTTGGTGAGTTTGAACCTTGCACAGTCACCCTGAGAAAGTCGTTTGATTTTTGGCAAAGATGTACATTAACATTTCTGCTCATTCTGTTTCTTTCCATTGCTTTCTAGTGGGAAGGAATACAGTAAGTATCACCCACAGTTATTTGCTAATGCCTCCTTCTGTTTATCCTATAAGCCATTCGTTTTGTAAAGCACCCTGGTTTTCTGCATAGAAGTACCATGTTCAGTGTGACTTCCTTAGAAATGAGGGTTGAATTGATGCTGAGATGAAACAAGTTGCTTGAGAAGCATGGACTCAGGAGAAAGATAAGATTTCTTTAGTGGCTTTACCAATATCGTGGCCCAGGTTGGCCGTCCATGTACAGCTTTAGCAACTCAGTCAGCACTCAGAAAGACCCACTGGCCTCCTGAGAACCAGATGCCCACAGAATCCACAGGCGGCTGATGTGAAAGCAGAATGGCAGTTTCCTGGGGTTCAGTGTAACTTTTTTGTGGGCCATCCTTGTAGGAATCATGAAGGAAGCCCACCAGCTTGCTTGTTCAGCAAGGGAAGTTAGGCTCCCTACTTAAATGCTGGTGACCTCACTCCCAATGTTTCCTTCCATCTGCCACAGGGTCTAGTCCTAACCTGTGATGTAGGACAGCACCTGTGCCCTGTGGTAGTGCTCACTGCAAGCTCTCTGACCTACTGTTCTATATGTTTGTGTCATCGTCTTCCTGTGGCACTGTTCCTGTCTCCCTCACATCCTCTCCTTCCCTTGCTAGTATTGATTTGGTCCTATTTGATCCATGCATGTGTAGATAGACTGTGTTTCAAAGCAGCAATTCCTGAAGCCTTGAGAGTTAATGTAACCATCAGTAGGTTGTTAGGTTTGTTTCATATAGTTCAGAAAACATTTCAAATAAAAAAAAAAACATTTGGGAAAATTGTTTACATACCCTAACCAAAATCAAATAATCACTTGCACATAGCTTTAGTCATAAATCTAAAATAGAATAGCAGAAACTATCACATTCATAACCATTCATCTTTTGTGAGTTAATTATCATATCTGTAATTGTTTGCCTTTCCTTCCTTCCAGTTTCCCATATTTCCTTTCCTATACATTTTATTTCCCCTTAGCTTTTAAAAAGGACAGGGAGACAGGCTGTAATATTATTAGCTATGACAGAAAATTTGATAAGAGATTTATCCTTTATTACAGGGTTTGGATTTATACCTCATACTGTTTTTAGGTTATTCCTATCTCTGACACCATGGTGATGGTGAAATGACTGTTCCAATTTTCAGTTCCAGAGGCACCAGATCGGCCTACTATCTCTACTGCATCAGAGACCTCTGTCTATGTCACTTGGATTCCCCGGGCAAATGGTGGCTCTCCAATCACTGCCTTCAAGGTGGAATACAAACGGATGAGGACTAGTGATTGGCTGGTGGCTGCTGAAGACATCCCTCCTTCCAAACTTTCTGTGGAAGTCCGTAGTTTAGAACCAGGTAATAATACTTTTTTTTGGGGGGGTGCTATTTTTTTGAGGTAACAAATGATATAGTGGAAAATTTTGAAAATAAAATATGTAGAAGAGAGTAAGTTATCTGAACTATATTCATTCATAGACAGTGTGTTTATGTTTTGGTATATTTCTTTCTAGTCTTTTTTTCTCTATGTCTTTATATGCCCCAGAATCTTGTCGTACACACAGTTTTGCATACCTTGTTTTATATATAACTCTGTAAATCTATCATCCTTTGCTTAACTGTTTTTGTTGCTGTTGTTGTAGTGGTGGAAATGGAAGCCAAGGCCTTATGCATGCTAAGCAAGCACTCTATAACTGAGCTATCTCTGAGCTACATCCCCAACCCTTAACCATTTTACTTCTGGATTTTTAAGTTGTTTCTCCAATCCCATTCACCCCCAAACTTCAAGACTACTAAAATAGGAAAAAAGGTGTGGATAAACTTATAATTTTGGGGGGCTCAAGACCACTTTTGCTCCTGTAATTTTAAATATGCACAGATGTAGCAGATGTCCCGTCTAACTCTCTGTAGTTAGGAAAAAGACAGCAGTTTTAGAGCTGAGTGGAACCAAGTGACACTTTCCAGACTAAAAAATCTTCCAATGATTGTGTTTGAGTGATGAAGACACTCACTTTAGGATTTTAGTTTATTCTTTGGATGCACCATAATGCCATTACAGGTTTTTATAGTTAAAAATGTTTTGTTTTTGCTCTACCCCTCAAGGTTCAACATACAAATTTAGGGTCATTGCTATCAACCATTATGGAGAGAGTTTTCGGAGCTCAGCATCCCGTCCTTACCAGGTGGCTGGCTTCCCAAATCGTTTTTCCAACCGCCCAATAACCGGACCTCACATTGCATACACAGAGGCTGTCAGCGATACTCAGATTATGCTCAAGTGGACGGTACGTGAATGGACATCTCCTTAACGAGACTTCATATCAGTGTAATGTTCTTGTGATGTGATGTTATGTCTTGTGTGTGATCAGTTGTCAAACTTTTAATTGTGAGGAAGTGGAAGGGCACTGAAGTTTGTCTAAAGCACATATTCTAAGAGACAGGGTTAAAATGAAATTATTGTTTTCTTCTGCTGCCATCCAAATGTTGTTAACTTAACTGACACTTTATGATTTATTCTTTTTGAACCATGTATACATTTAATTTTGAAGCTTGTGAAGTGTATACGGTTCTATTTTTGTTTAGGTCTGCAGTAAGCTAAGTGCTTGTATACAATTGATTATCTCTGAATCAGGTTCAAAAATGGCCACTACATATAATAGTAGCAAAACAAAGCTAGAGAAACATTACCACACAGATAAGGAAATTCAGATATTGCTTTTATTTTTGCCTTTGACAAGTCTTTGTTTCTGTTTTCTAGTATATTCCATCAAGTAACAATAACACTCCCATTCAAGGATTTTATATCTACTATCGGCCAACAGACAGTGACAATGACAGTGACTACAAGAGGGATGTTGTTGAAGGTGAGTCCCTTGGTAAACTGGAGGTCCTGCAAAAGTGCTTTTATGGGGAGGGCCTAAATATCATGAACCCATCATCACAGGCTAAGACTGAGTTAGAAATGAGCTGGTTTATGTTGTTAAGTCTGTTCCAATGAAACCCAATTTCCTTAGTTCTGTGTGTGTGTGTGTGTGTGTGTGTGTGTGTATGCATATATATTTATACACTATATCGTATAGTGTCCTGATTTTATTGCAAGATGGGTATAAAAGTATGGGAGAAAATGATTCATCAGTAGTTCATCTGAAACAAAAAAATTACCAGTGACCTGAATATATAAATCAATTACAACTGCTTACTACATTGAAAAGAGTCTCCTCTGTCTGTAGACCTCTGCCCTAGGATAATCACATCTAAAATGTGTTACCAATCTTTAGCAATGTTGGGAACTTGGAGTGTTTTGTAGAGGAACAAGAAACAGTCCAGGCATGAAGGGTACTAATACTGCTCTTCTGCTGCACTTAAATTTAGAACAATCTAGAATGTCACATGTGGCCTGGTGGCTGCTGTGACCTACTTGGTGCCATCTCTACTCTTAGCCATGCCTTTTGCACCTTTTCTCATTGGAGATGTTGACACCAGCCTCAGGTCCTTGGTGCAGAATGGTTCCTGCCCCCTCCGTTCCCTTTTCCTAACACTTTGCACGGGTATTCTCACTCTTCTCTGCTGGAACTTTACATACCTCTTCCTCAGATCAGGTCTTTCCTGGAGTTGTTTGTTTCATAACATTTTATCAAAGTCTAGATATGTGAGTATGAGTGTTTGAAATTATATTTCTCTTATTAAGTATTAACTTCCTTTAGTCATGGGATCTTTGTTCCCTCTGCTGTGTTCCCAGTCCCTACTATGGTGGTGCGTTCGGCATCGAATGGATTGATGGACTTGTGAGTGGAGTCCATGAAAAGAACTGTGGAATGTCTGGTGATGCTTGTGCTTGAAACAGGGAGCAGCATGAGAGCTGTGTTCGCACCAGCTGACCTTGGTGCAGGAAGGGAGCTGATTCAGTCGAGACAGGTGGTTATAAGGAAATGATACATGGAAGAACTTTCTAATGTAATCATCTAGGTTCCCTCACAGGTTCCTGGAGTCTGTCTGGAAGCATCAGGTACAAACCAGATGCTTGATTCTTGGTAATATCATAGATGGGTTTCTTGGTCTGGGAGGAAAATTTCTTCCAAGCTCTCTTTTTAGTCCAAGATACTGCTCTTGTGAAATGGTGAGTCTTGGTTGGATATAGCATGTGCTGGGCCCTGAATTATATCTCATGCACACATACATACATTCCTCTATACATAAATACATATACATAGAACAAATCTTGTCAGAAAATTGCCCTAGGCCTAGGATTTACTATATGACTTTCTGCCATTAAATACATAGTTTAAAAAAAATTAGTTTAAGTATGCTATATAGCATATCAAATATTACAGCATTTTTTGAGATTTTATTTGTTTTT